ACATATCATATACATCCGAAGAAGTGGGCTGTAGTCCACGAAAGCTTATGCTCTAATAAATTTGTTAGTCTCTAAGGTGCCACAAGTACTCCTGTTCTTTTTGAGACTTCATAGTACTTTCCATGTAACTAACACTTCGCAAGGGATACCTACTATGATGCTAATGGTTGACATGTTTGATGCTATACATCTGGGGAGCTACTTAAACCTCTCTAACCCTTTCCGATTGACCCTGCTGCGGATGGAGTAAATAGAAGAAAGGGGACAAGGAAGAGAGAAGTCAAGGGGATTTGCAGAGGGAACATAAAAAAAAATTGAGGCAAGGGGCCCTACACAACCCCAGATCCTTAATTCCAGCCCTCCAGCATCTGTGACCTGTAGCCATTCCTTAAGTATCTTTCCCTTCGAGAGATAACACTAGAAGATGGTCTATAAATTCCAGGGTCTAAAGCAGCCAGACTGGTGTCCTGGTCTTCATCATCCATGCAGGCAATCTCAGCCGGGGTGCTCCCACATATAATCACTGCAAATCATTTTCTCTGTTCTGCGTCCTGAGGCGGCATTAGGGGAATCTTCCTAACACATTTAGATAAGGGCTCTCCTGCGGAGGTGGGCGGAAATTTGGCAGCAGGAAAGGAATTTGCCTGCCCATTAAATCAACCGGCAACAGTGGTTTATGGGACTAGCTTATTAGACAGTGGTGTCAGCTCTTACTGCTTCCCTGGCGTTATGGAAGGATTAGTTGGACCCCCGGCCCCTTCCCCTTGTTGTAACATGAAGCCAGTGATCTGCATATTCAAGAGGCATGATTTTATCCTGCTGCAGCGGTGAGTTGCCCCGTCAACTGATTACGGTGGGCTTGGATGTTTGCTGCTCACTCTTTTTCCAGGGCAGTGGATTAGTGATCTCTGTAGATCTGTGTTCGAATCCTTGTCTTGGCTCATAAGATACTGGGTATTTCAAGCTAGCGTCGTGCCTACTAAGGACATTTTCAATGTCACACCCCATTTGGAGCAACCGTTCGGTTTGGCACAGTTGTCAGGCTGGGATAATAGAGTCAGCTCTGGTTAGTGAGGCCCCATCTGACTCCTTCCCTGGCTGTGAATGGTGCCCAGATCATCACATTGGTTGAGTGTGCAATTGCAAGAACTTTGCATAGGTTGTGGCCCCTATGAGTAGAGCCCTGCAGCTAGTGGAGCGGATGCGGATACAACCACGCAGGGCTCTACCCATAGGTCTCAGCCTCTGGGGGGTGGCTCCCCGCCACGGGCTCAGCCCTGCAGGGCCCCTCACCTGCTGACTCCACAGCTCGGGGGCTGCTGGGCCCTGCCTGCAGGGGTGGCGTGGCGGCTACTGCTGTCTGCATTGCGAGCGGTGGGGTCTTGAGGCTACAGCCGGGATCCTGGCCGGCCAGGGGGCAATGCCCGAAGGGACCAGCCCACACCCTGGGCTCTTTTTTCGGGTTTCTGGATGGCTGTCTCCCACCCTCGTTCTCAGCGTAGATGGAATCATCCGCAGCAGCCAGGTGTTCTCCGCTTCCTATGGCTGTCGGTAGGGCTCTAGTATAGGGCAGCCACGTGGTCTAATGGATAGCGCCGGTGGCGCCTGGCCTGTGGCGTCCGGCTCAGGCTGCCCGGGGGGCGCAATGTGCTTGGGGCCAGCAGCCATGGCTGGAGTTGGGGCTGTCCAGCACCTGCTTGCCACGCCACTTCCCGTCCAGTGGCTCGGGCCCCTCGGGCAGCGCCAGCGTCCCTACCATGGCTCGCCCTGGCTGCACACCCAGCCCACCAGCCACTAGGCAGCAGAGCCCGCCCCCGGCCACGGGGATTGGAGCGGGCGCCCCACCTCTCCACTGATGCATCATGCGCTGCTGCTAGTGGGTCCCTTCGCTCGCAAGGATCAGATTCATAACCCTCCCTCCACTTCCAGGAATGAAAGCGGATCCCACTCTGGAGAGCCTGACTTTGCCCATTCTCTGCAGATTAACTGAGGGCACCCCGAGTGGCATTTGGAGACACCTGAGTTCGGGGTGAGGGGCCAGACCCGAGTGGGAGGATGCCATGTTTATGTACAGCACCTCCCTAGCTTGCCTTTATCCTGTGCTCGATGATAACCACGTCCCCTGTGTTTCCCTCCGCACAGCTCAATTCTCCGATGAACCCCATCAGCAGCACAGAAGACATTAAACCGCCCTTGGGACTCAATGGAGTTCTTAAAGTGCCAGCGCACCCCTCAGGAACCATGGCCTCCTTCACCAAGCACATATGCGCCATCTGTGGGGACAGATCTTCAGGTAAAACCCCCCAGATGGCAAGTGGGGGAGGGGATCGGGGAGGTGGACCTTGATGGAAGGAGAATCCCCTTTCCTGATCTTTATTTGTCCAACAGGAGCATCCACATGCGTTAGCTTCCTGGGCCAAGGCAATGCAACGCCTTGGTTTTACCTGGCTTCTCTCCCCACCTGTGTCCTGCCTTCCTGCCTTGGAGAGAATATGCAGCATGTAAACCCTCCCATCAGGGCACAAAGAGGGGGGAGGGATAGCTCAGTGGTTTGAGCATTGGCCTCCTAAACCCAGGGTTGTGAGTTCAATCCTTGAGGGGGCCATTTAGGGAACTGGGGTAAAAATTTGTCTGGGGATTAGTCCTGCTTTGAGCAGGGAGTTGGACTAGATGACTTCTTGAGGTCCCTTCCAACCCTGACATTCTATTCTATGAATGGTCTTGTGACCCAGCTACTGGGAGCAATCACTTTAAAGACATCCCCCAGCTTCTGAAGGTGCCCAAGGAAGAGATAAGACAAATGCAGCCGCCAGGGGGAACCTTTTGCTCTTCCATGCCAAGTGCTCAGGGCCATCCTAAACCTTAACCTCCGAGCGTCTCCTTCCCCTGCACCTGGAGATTGATGGCCAACCAGCCGGGGCTGGAGCAGCAAAAACGGAACCTTGGGAAAATGCGGGGGGGGAATGATCCCATTTATCAGCCCTACCTTCACCCCTTTTGTGGCTATGCCGGAGGGGGTTGGATTTAATTGAGTGGCAGGGCTGTGCAGAATATCCTTAACCACAGCTGAAAACAAACCAAAGCCAGCTTTGGTTTGAAGGTGTCCTTGCCCCCTCTCTGCTCAGAGCAGGTTCACTCAGAGGGATACTCGGCTTGCAGACCACCCCAGGGAGCCTGATCTGGTATCGCAAGCCAGGTGAAACTTGGCAGATTCCTCTGTGTTCAGAGAACAACTTGGTGTGGGGAACAGGTGAAGTTTTGCCTCTATCTCTGCTTAGCCGCTGTTTGCATCATTATATATTGGAAATTGGCTACCGCTGGAGCAGTGTAGCTCCTCCTTCGACCGTAGCCTTTTTATCCCATATCCTTCCTTCTCCCGCATCCTTTTATCCCATGATGACCTTCTCAGAGAGTACCAGAGACACTTCTGATTGATTATCCCCACTCTGTAAAATAACGTGGTAATTCCCTTTGTTCTCATGTCATTTTAACTCTTATCACAGTGGGCTCCCTGCTTGTCTTTCTCTCCAGGCAAATTTTGCTCTCTCTTATGCCCACGTGACTATATAGGAGAAGGTGGCCTGGATGTGTAACTCAGAGCAAACTTCAGTACATAATGTCTATCAGTAAAATTTCCCTAAAACTTCTGACTCCATTCCCAAGCGATGCTCTATGGCCCACGAGTGATCCCTGCATGGGGTCTTCCCTGGGGACGTGCCCAGAATGACACCTCTCAAGAGCCACCCACTGAGGAAAGAGGGGAGCTCTCGCAAGGTTGTATATGTAGTGAACATGTTGGAGAATAACCATGCCAACTCAGTCCCATCTGTGGAGGGGCTGCCGAAGGGGACGTTTGTTCTCACATAGATTACTGGGGGGGGGAGGGGGCATCTTCTCAGCAATGAGCAGCCGTGTGGATTGTTCATTTCTTATGCGACCCCAAATGCCACGGACAAAGAGAAAAGGGACCGTTTGTCACAAATAACACTAGCCCATTGGCTCCTGTGTCCACAATGTGAGCAGAGAGGTCAAGGGCTGAAAGAGTCTTGGAGACAGCAACTACTCTCTGGTCCCTTGTCTTCACTTGGAAATTAGGTTGTGTTAGAACATGACCGTGGCTCATGTTGTTAAACATGATTTGCAGCCCGTTTGGACAGGGACATCTTGTCATCTGGTTGTGGCAAGGCCTGTACTTCCAGTTGGGTTTGACCCACGACCAGTGGACATGATGGTAAACATGATGGTTGAGGCTGGTTGCCAGGGCAATGTGGGGGAAGCTTGCCTGGATGTTGTACCTATTCTGTGGATGAATAAAGAGTGGTCAGGACCTTGTCCAGACAGGGATGTCTAGGCTGAGCTAGTTAGCTTGATCACATTAAACAGTGTAAAACCCTAGGAGACAAAGCAATTGTATATTAGCACACACTAAGATAAAGCCTGACACCCCCCCCCCTTCAAATCCTAAGCTAGACAAGGCCTCAGGTAATTAAAAAACCCAGAGGAGAAGTAGTAAGAGGGCTGGGGGTGGGTGGGAAGGTGACCTGTTTGTTGCTCAGTGGGTCTGCATGATTTCTGTGTTTCTTCATCCCTCTCGATCCCCTGCAGGTAAACATTACGGGGTGTACAGCTGCGAGGGCTGCAAAGGTTTCTTCAAGCGCACGGTGCGGAAGGACCTCACCTACACCTGCCGCGACAATAAGGATTGCTTGATTGACAAGCGCCAGCGGAACCGGTGCCAGTACTGCCGGTATCAGAAGTGTCTGGCTATGGGCATGAAGCGAGAAGGTAAGGCAGACAGAGCAGTGACCTCCCTTAAGCACGCAGGCATGGTGCAGTGGACCCGGCGGGTGCTCAGGTACACTCCTTCTGTAGGAGGCTCCCTCCTGTTTCGAGCCCTGCAACGCAACGTGCACCAAACCTGCATTTCGCCCCTTTTGTTGCTGGTTGTGAACGCAGCCAGGAATATGTGTCAATGATCTCACTATGGAATCGCTGCTCCTGGGTCCTAACCATGCTGTTTGCTGCTACATAAAGGGTGGATTTTTCTCCCCTGTGCATGTCTGTCTTGCGTATATTCTATGCTTGCTCGACAGTGACCAGTAGCAAGGTGCAAGGCCATGGAGGAATCAGGCCAGATGTGTATCTGAGAGGAAGTTGTTGCCCTGAGTAACTCACTTAGTTCCTTCACCAGCAATAGAATGTGTCTGAACAGCTTCCATTGCCAGAGTGCTGCTTTTATTTCTCATAAGGAGCAGCATCCGCATCAGATTCTTCTGGCTACCCAGGCCTAAGCCAGGTTACACTCTGTGGTATGATATTACCGGGTGCGAATCTGCCCAAGCAAAGCTCCGAAGGTGCCGGCATGGTGTTCATTTCAAAGGGGTGACGCAAGGCGAGAGCAGGTAGCAGCAGATGCTATTGGCCAGTGGCCTGGAGGAAGGCAACAGGAAAGCCCATATCAAGGGGTGAATGCGGGGCTAGCGTTTTAGGTACAAGGCTCTTGGATTAAATATATGTTGGGTGACAAGCACTGTAATCTGATTTGGCCCATCCTTTTACAGATAACCTGATCTGAAATGATGTTAAATCCTGGGAAATTGGTGTCGATTATTAAATGGGACACTGTCCAGATACAAATTGTGTGTTTAATAAAATGCTTTCCCTGTAGCACTTTAGATTAGTAAAACTGAAAGAATGTTATCAGCCTAATTTATTCCTCATCGTGCTGTTAGTTGGTATTTTGTACTTCACTAGCCTGAACTAGACTGGTTATTTTCATTTTCTCTTTATAGTCACTTTTACTTTTGATTCCTATGAACTTGCCCTGTGCTGTTGTGTTTGGGTCTCCAGTATTGTAGGAAAATAGTTGAAACTCTGTTTTTCCCATGAGGAAGAATAATCATGACAATTTTTTTTTTTTAGTTTTTGTAAAAATTTCCCCCCACCTGAAATTTAGTTTTGGACCTGAATGATTGACAATAGCTCGTCAATGCTGCATTGGTCGGTGTGTGCTTATGACTTGAGAGCGACTATGTGACTAATCCTCCATTGGTAGCACTCCAGTTACTGATATCCGCACTCATTACATCTTCTGAGTCACATCTGCTGTGCTGACTGGCACATAAATCCGCTTCTTTACTGCTCTCTGTTCTGCGGAGTCACAATAGTCGTGGGAGAGCAAAGCTGCAGGATGTGTCTCTTTGAAGAGCAGTTAGTCTTGTCTGGAGCGTTAACTAAATAGGGCAGCGCTGAAGCTGTGTCTAGTGTTTAACAAACCCTGACAGGCTTGATTTACGGGGTCATATAAGGACCCACACATGCAGATTCTTCAAATGTCAAAGCCATCTCTGCTTGGGATGCTTTGGAGTTCCAAAGGCAACTGATTAAAAGGGCATTTGGATGGGGTTAGGGGGAAAGGGTTAGCTCTCCAGAGAGAGCAAACTGCAGAGTACTGAATTCCTAAAGGGAACCTTCCTCACCCCAGCAAACTCAACCCTTGGTGTCCGGAGTCGAGATTTCTGGAGGGGAGTGTACTATGTTTTGCACCGAGGAGGGCTGGAAACTCTGGCAGATGTTCTGGGTTTTATACAAGGACTTTTTTTTATCATGGGGTAACCATGTATAAGATATATATATATGGTCTTAATCAGACACAGAATGTACCTCTGATATGTTTCTAGACATGAATCAGAGTGTGTGTGTGTGTGTGTGTGTGTGTGTGTGTGTCCCAGAGCATTTTGTTAGGGCGCTATAGTTTTAACAGGAATGTTAGAAATCTGAGCATCCCTCTCTACGCTAGCAACAAGTCTGCATCTTCCCCATGTCGGGCAGTGGCAGAAAGGGTGCGAGTCACATTTGTTTTCTTGTTTAAGGGGCAGGGATTTTACGGCTGGCTCTGCAAACAGATGACAGCCCTCCCTCGCAGTCAGAGAAGAGGGCTCTACCTTTCAAAGGTAAAGCCAACTTTGAGGCTGGTTTCCTGAGCTTCCCCCAATGTCCCCTGGGGACGCTGACTTGACTGCACAGTAGGTGCGGTCCTGACAGACAACAGAGAGAAGGAGAGAGCACGCGATGTCCTGAATCAACCCTGTCTCTCCCAGGTGGAAGAGACCAAGTTCTGGGATGTGGACAGATAGACAAAGCCACCCGCTGGTGCGAAGAAAGCAAAACCGACAGGGGATATGGACAGAAAGGAGAAGAGGGTGGAAAGTCTTTGGACTTCAGGTGAAAATGCACTAGTGCTGCTGGCTGTGGGCAGTGCCAGGTGTCTGGAGTGAGGCAACGGATTGGACTCAGGAGGACTGGTTGTTATTGGAGTTACATCTCAGCAGTGTCTTAGGGTACGTCTACACGGCAAAAAAAACCAACCTGCAGCAGAATGTCCCAGAGTCTGGGTCAACTGACTTGGGCTTGCAGAGCTCACGCTGCAGGGCTAGAAACTGCAGTGTAGACATTTGGGCTCAGGCTGGAACTCTGACTCCCAACACCCTGACCCCTCCCTGGGTTTCAGAGCCCGGACAATGACAGTGCTATTTTTAGCCCCGCAGCGTGAGCCCTAGTCAGTTTGACCCGGGCTCTGAGACTCACTGCTGTGGGTTTTTTTGGCCGTGTAGACGTGCCCTCCTTAAAAGCGTGTTGTGGCTTAGACTCTACGGGTGCCGTGTGAGGTGCTCGCAAGGATGTGTGACCACTCAGTGCTCCTGCAAAACCAGCCTTCGTGTGTGAAAAGCACCGGAGGTAGCCAGGCTGGCGTTTGGCTGCAGGGGTTTGTTCTCTGCGGTGCTGCCAGCATAGGAAGACTCATCCCGAAGATCGAACCAACTCGCCTCTCCCTGTCATGTCTCCCCTCCATAGCCCCTTGCCCACCGAGATACTCACTGGTGCATATTTGCAATCTGTGCTGGCATGATCCTGGGCCTGTAAAGCTGTGAAGGAAACAGTCCTCAGAGGAAAGGCACAGCTGCCATGCCAGTGTGAACAGAGCGCTGTCAGATTGCATTAGCGGTAACTGAGGGGCGTTGCATTCTTTGCTGGATAAAAGTTGCTAGTCAGGAGGTCAACTCTATAACTTGTACTCACCAAATGTTTCCATTGCGAGAATAAAAGTGACTAACAAAGGCCAGCTCATCTACTGTATATTCAACAATGGCACTTGCTTTTCAGCGGAGAGATGTGGGAACGTTTTCAATTTGCAGTAAATGTAATGTCGTCGGCTGGGATTGTCTATGGAGCCTGTTAAATTTCATTGGGAACTGGGCGCCTAACTCCCCTAGGCTCTTTAGAAAATCCAGGTTAATTTTATTTTTATTTGTCCTGAATCAAAATGGAGCCCAAAGGTTTTGGTTCTCATGCCCTCTGGGATCTGTTTTTCCCCTGGAAGTGTCCATTAATGTGAGAGGGTTACTTCCGGAATCGTCCGCTCTCCCTGAGATGGTGTCACAGGGTGAGCTGGGGCTGGAAAAGGGTTAAGGCCTCAGAGCTCTGGATGACGTGTCAGAAGCCCAGAGTGGGCACCGAGTATAAGAGGTGCTGTCCTCCGAGCAGGAAGGAGAATATACTGTGAAAGACCTGGTGCGGGGCGCTCTTGCAGTGGGCAGGTGCCTGGGTGGGGAAGGGCAGTGGCCGGGGGTCTGGATTGGGACTGGAGATGAGTGAACTGGGGCCCAGGAGGGACTCAGTGGGTTCAGATCAGCAGGACGCCTCGCTAAGAGGAGCTTAGCACAGCCAGGGGACCTGGGCTCCAGGAGAGTCGAGTGGAGGCAGGAACAGAAAAGGAACGGCTTGCGCCTGGGAAGGCTGAGGGACCTCTTTGTCCTGCTGTGTCTTAATAAACCTGGCCCCAAGAAGGGGAATGTTCCTTTAAGTGTGGTTGTGGGGGCATCCATTAGCAAGTCAGAGGGGAAACCGAGGCAGCACCCAGTGGGGGTGGGGCATGCCGCTCTTGCAGATGGATTTAAGTGAAATGGTTTGATGCTCAAACAATGGACCCAGCTGCTTGCCCATGGTGATCTGTGGCTTTTCTCGTTTTCTTTCTGTTGGCTCTGCTGAACTGACATCCTGTAAATCAGGTGACTATTAAATTCCTACAATTACGGCAATTGCCCGGGCAGCGCCACTGTAAAATTATAGGTCCATTAATTAATTTCTAAACGGCAGTGGAATTCCCAAGGGAGCGCATACTGTATGCCAGCCGTGTGAGGACTCTATTAATTCATCTTGATTAACATTATCACAACGTATACCGAATGAATCCATAATAATCAGCCAATTATTTAAAAGTGTGACAGATGGGACCTTCATAACCCTAGAACTGAACTCACGCACTACTGGCAGACTGATCTTATAGTGCAGTGTGTATATTATGGAGGGCTAGGAGAAAGAGGAGAAAGTCTTTGTGTTTAGCATATGTGATTAGTAGACGTTCGGGGCCAGATCTTCAACTGAAGTGAATCAGCATAACAGAGCTCCATTGATTTCCATTGAACGATCCCAAGTTGCACCTGATGAGGATCTGACCCATAGTAAATAGCTATTTGGTGCCATGTTGATAACAGACCTGGATTCTGTTCTTGGCACTGCACTGTGGCTCAGTTGCCCTCTCTGTGAAATGGGAATAACACTACTCCTTTGTAAAATATTTTGAAGTCTGTGTGTAAAAACTGTCTGTAAATGAGCCATCCATCTGGCTCAGATATACAGTTCCAAGAAGCATCGTCTGCTCATTTTGGAGCGGTCTTTTCGCTTTTTTTATTCCTGAAAATAAGTTAGATACGGTTCTGGTTTTC